TTAATTTAACAAATATGCTTTAATGTATCTGTCTTGCTAATTACTTGTGAGAGGACTAAGGAATAACATGTTTAAATGCTTACCTCAAGCTTTTCCATTGCTTCTCTTGTTTTCTGAAGATCAATTTCCCACTGGTTCAGAACAGTCATGACTTGCCTACTGAAATCTTCATGCTGTTCTCTAAAAAAATGAATAGTAGAATAGAATTACCCAGCCATGATCGAGCAGCGCGGCAGAGATCAGTACCGATGGTACGGCTTTAATTATCAGAACAGTTCTTGCCTTCGTAAAAATGGGCAGGATTGGATAATGCGTTTTGCTTTTTCTTTAAAACCCAACCACTGTCGATCAAATGGTGGCTAGGCTCTGATTATAAAAATATTCCTCATTTCAGAAAACCAATAAATGTAACGATAAGGTTAAATGCATTTAAGATATAAAAATTACAAAACATATTGTAGGGAAAACGAATTTACACCTTGTTTATTGGGAGATCAATATTAGCATGTTGTTGTTGCAATTGAAAATTCGAGTTCAAATAAAGTTTATCTTCAAGCGTAACAATTCTTTAAGATTACATTATGCACATTTTGTGGATACTCCTTTGTTTATTGGTATAAGATTGCATTTTGGTCAAAAGGCAGCAAAACTCACTCGTAGTAAGTCAATAGTCTATATTCTTTTATATTTTCGTAGTTTTTCTACATCAGTGACTACTGTATGGTAAAAACCTTACCACTGTCTAATAGCTCGAAAAAGATGGAATTGAGATTCGAAGCGTAGGACCTTAAAATTCCGCCTACTTCGACGACAAGGCAGCCATCTTGGATCTCAATTCATTATATGGTGTCCGGGGCCTCTGGACGCCCCATAATGCCTTGTGATCCATGATAGTAACTGTATCGTCGAAGTAGTCCATTCATAATACCATGTATTAATAACATCTTACCTTTCCTTTTGTTGCTTGTTCCATATCTCGTCAAACTTTTTATTGCTAGCCTTTAGTGACCCTTGGGTAAAGCTCTGGATCCGCTTACGTTTGGCATTCAAAGTGGTCTTGATGTCATCTGAATAGGTTATTATTAGTATGGATACACATTATCAATAAAAGGCAATGTTGTCTATGAAACTGCCAAAACGCGCTCGATAATATGATGGATCACAGCCAAGTCTGCAGCCTATTCTTTAATACAAACATTATGTCCACATCGATGTGTGGTTATACCCACGTCAATGTGTATTTACTCTGTACTTTTCTCAGCCTGGATTTGCTTCATTGCTTTTACTAATGGGCTTTTAGAGTAGTTTATATAGCCCGGCATCCAACACAAGTATGTATGCATGACACATCACTAAAGATTAAACCCTCTGACATTTTCTCTAAAAAATATTGCCATTACAATAACAGGTAAACTTCTTCGTCCTCATTAACAGCAAACAGAACGCCGACAGGAACGTGCACGGCTCATCAATTGTGTGCAGCTTAGACACCGCCTCGGAAGGAAGGCCTCCCCCCTCTTTCTTTTTTTTTTTTTAATTTTATTTTTTACTTTTTTTATTTTATTTTTTTGATATTTGATAGAGTTTCCCACTACTTGTACCTTTGTTTAACTTGAAAATCAGATTCGTGAGGTAGCTGAAGTATGATTTTTTTTTTCGATATGCCTATCGTAGGCGCTATGCATATATCATATTACTTACTTCCAAAGCCTTTCAATAGGGATGAAAACTCTATTTCACTGCTGAAATTGCACATTTAATATCATTAATTAGTCGTGGATGCGAAATAACAAATGAGCCAGAAATTTCGCTAAACGAATTGCTGTAGCAGGTAACGTGACCCTATCTTCTTAGAACGAACAGCCGTTTCAAGATGAACAACAGAATTTGAAAGAACACCTCGACATTAGCATGGAGAGGTTGCCATGGTGTTTCAGCTAATAACAAGCGAAGCCGGAGAAATGGTCTTAAATATAAGAAGAATAGGAAAATACAAATCCTTATAAAATATTCGATGTTATATTTAATTCTTTTTTTTTTTTATTCATTTCTCCTATAGTCAAAAACTCGCCTCCCTAGTAATGCCGAGGTGCTCTTGTCATTTCTGTCGTTTATTTTGACAACTGCTTGTTGCACTCAGTCCCTGCTTGGAAAATGATAACAAAAAATGGTTGACACATATCTCTTTTATGGGAACCCGGTCAGATCGGCTGGTATTGCCAGCCGGTTAATATCTCGCCTCTTAGCCAATTATATGATAATAATAAATGTATCAATATATTTCGTTCGTGAGTGGAATTAGCATGATAGCAGGGGAAAATTACTAGTCATTTTCCCCTGATAATATATACTTAGGTTATATGTAAAACATTTTACCCATTTTCTGGTTCATCTTCTTCTAGATCTGAGTAGCTGATATCATCGGGTGTTTGTTCTATTATTGTTCTTTTTCTAGCTTTCTTAGGCAGCTCCTCGGTTGATAATGCAAGACCTAATGCAAGAATAAAATTAATAAATAATTAATTAATTAGCGATGACATTGGAGCTGCATATTAGCAATTTCTGACATAACAAGAATGGAAAATCCTATATGAAAACATTTTTGTCTCTTTTACAACGAGGTTGGTATACAGCTATTTTTAAAAATGGTTGGAGAAGGTTTTGCCGTAGCATATTGCATGTTGCATATTGCATGTTTCATGTTGCATACTAAGTTGTTAATGTATTACATTCGTGTGTAAATAATGTCAGCACAAAAGAAATTATTCCAAAAAAAAGTGCCGGCAAAGTTTAGGAAAATTGTTAATTGCTGTAACTTCTGTTGCTGATTCTAATTACATCGCCCAAATTCAGCAATGTAACATGTAGCAAAACCTTCACTGAACACTTTTAAAAATACCTGTGTATAGATATAAGGTAGGTACGAAAGAATGAAAAGGAATGGTAAGTTGCAATGTTTTTGCTATTCTTTCTCCGGTGCAAATTGTGAAAAATTTTAATTCTAAACCTGAAAAAAAGGATCCATCTAAAATACTTTCCTCGTATTGTTTGACAGCTAGCTACAGCTTTATCATTACATTTTCATTAGTTTTATTACAAGTGTAATTTTAAAATTTCATTTTCTCGAAATTGAATTTCGCTTTAATCATATCCTTTTTGTAATCACTACCAAATCCTGTAATCTGATTAGTTCAAAGGAGTGCGATTAATACCCAAATCGCATCCTTAGGAGTAGAGCTCTTAATCGCATCCTTTTGAAAGAACCAATCACAGAACAGAATTATTATATTCAGCCAATCAGAGAAGAATCAAATGTGTTGTAGTAGATAATTTTATCACCGTAGGTGCGAAAGATAGTAGACTGACGTTTCGGACGTTAGTCCTTCGTCGGAGTCAATGAGAGAATCAGAGAAGAGAATGATTAGCATTATTTATGAATATTTAATGATTTGCTGATAAATCGTTTATTTTATACCAGGAAAAACCGGATTGATTCACTTCTTTTTCTACATTAAATTGATTATTCTGTACTCTTTATTGTGTCTTTTTCTTGTGTATGATTACAAAAAGGATATGATTATAAGTGACAATTGAACTTCGAGTCGTGCAATTTTGGACCAGAATCATACTTGTGATTAGCAATTGCACTCGCTACGCGGTCGTGCATTTTTGGTAATCACTCGTATGATTTTGGTCCAAATTGCACTCCACTCAGTTCAGTCCTGCTCAGGAACCATAACGATAATGATTGAATAACTAACCTTTTAACCCTTGTTGGTCTTCGGTTTCGTTTTCAAAGTCAGCAAATTCATTTGCTAGTTTATTCAAAGCCGCTTTACCAGCTGGTTTGATTTTCTTCGCATGTATTGGCATTTTTACTACAAATGAAGGTGATAAAAAAGAAAATATATATATAACTCACAACAAAACAAAAATCTCGAAAGTTAGCTATAACCACATAAAATTTACGGTCATATGAAGTCTGTATGCTATAAAAAGAATAAAAATAAAAACACTTGTGGACGATATAGCCAAAGAAAGGGGTTGATAAAGGAAGGAATATAAAAAAAGTCAAGGAAAATAAAACAAGAAAAAAAAGTTGACGGAATACTAGGAAATAAGCTTACATTCTGTGGTAAAGCTAAAGTGTCAAATGATTGTTGAAATAGTTGAGCTTATAAACCAAATAGACAAAAAAATCCTGTATCCAGTAGTTTAAGAGATAAATGCTTACACAAGAAGAACCAAAAAAAGGAAGATTTCAGAAAAAGAATAAGAAAAACGGCCAAAAAAAAAACGAAGCACAACAAAGTGAAATTATAAAGTTCAATCGAAACTAGAATATTTAGTATCTCAAATTTGTCGTAATAAATAACAATGAAGACTTAATAAAACTTGTCTACAAATATGTTTCCCTAAATTTGAAGTGCAATGAATAATTTGTTATAAAAAATTTAAAAAAAGAGAGTTCCTTGAAATTTTGAAAATAAGCTCAACTTGAATTTAGGCCGGAGCAAAAAATTAAGGCAAAAATTACAAAAAGCTCAAGGTTTTGAAGAATTTTTTTCAAAAAAGTAGGTCTCCAAAGATTCACCATTTAAGCAAGAAACTTTTTCCGTTATAACTACTTACCTAAAGACGAATATTTATGGTAAAATGAGAGTAAAGATAATACGAAGTTCAGCGAGGAAGATGAAAGATGTCAACTAAAATATAACGAAGGATTTCCCGCCGAAAATAAGACAAACGCGGGGGAGGATTTTCCCGCCAATTTTTTCCACAGGAAGCCCACTTTGAGTTAGAAAAAATGTATTGCTATACCGACGTTTTTGACTGATTATTGTGTTGGCATATATTATAGAGCAATTTTTCTTTTCTCGTATTACATAAATTTCAAAAACTTTTTTTCTCCGATTTATCATTTTTTTTTTTTTAACTTTTACTATAAATGGAGTACCTGTAGTAGTTATACCACAGGGAACCCAAATGTATTGCCTCCGAAATTCGTTGGGGGTTTGAGTTTTTTCGAGTTTCAAATGGATCCTTCTTAGAATTGTCTTGAATGCGACGCTAACATGAAAATACAAAAGATATACCACAAATTCCATCGGCAAAAGTGTGATTTTCGCATCCACGATAGTTTTGAGAAGGGTCTCAGTATTACCGCTGTATTCCTTAATTACTAAGAACGGCCTCGTATCAGTGCCTAAATATTCAAAAATACCAACGGTWAAGTARAGAATGCACAACTTCAATAATTCAAACACTTTGACACGGACCCGCGTCGCTGGAACATCAATAGTTCTCGGCACACTAAACAAAATCAAGGCTATCTGAGCAACTGAGCCGAACTCGAGATTGAAGTATTGAAGGGAGAGACAATTTGTTCAAGATGCTAACTATATCAGATTTTTTAGTAATACGTTTGTCGTTGTATAAAAGGTTATCAATGCTTGATGAGCAAGTCTTTTTCTTATTCAAAATTTCATTAATAACTGACCATGTTGCTCTAATGTTCCCTTTCGATCTCTCTAGCACTGACTTGACTATTTTTGCTGAAAATTTCAAATTAAACTCAATACCCCTCGAATTGAAGAGGAGCCCTTTTTGTTATATTTAATATTGGGGAAGGAGAGGTAGCTGTGAATGTAAGACACCACGCTGAATGAGAAAACATTTTTTTACCTTCAATGTATCATGGGCCATGAATTTATTGCCATTTATTGCCAGTCTTCTAGTCGGCTCTGAAGATCATCTGGCTCGGTCCTAACACAGTATTCGTGGCCATTTTGCACAACTTCCGCGGGCTAAAAAATCGACCAAGGATTTTTTAACCTTCGAAAGCTTTGCATGAAGCCTGCGTAGAAGCGGTGTAGCTCAATGGGTCAGCTTGTGGATCATTTCCTTCTTTCCTTTCCTTTTTCTTTTCGGCTTTTGATATCTTTGATTTTTCTTCTTCTTCATTCTACTTCCCTAATTGCCTGTTAATTCTATGACATACTATACTTGCCTTTTTCCTCTTCTTTTTCTTCTTAAAACCGATTTGAGATTTACTTTTACCACAAAAACAAAAATTTGTTAAAAAACTGACTTGCTTTAAACACTGAATAAAACTATAAAACTATAAGTTTTTTAGGCACGAATTCTAACCTTTTCTCTTTGTACATTGAAGTAGTGTTGTTCCAGAATCAGTTACGTTCTTTTATGAGTTGCACATTTATAACCACTTTTAAATATGAGTCTTCTACTGTTGCTATCTTTGAGGGAGACTCACAAAAGAAGCCCAAATTATCATTTCAAACGATCTCTTTAGTATATGAAATCTCTGATTCGAATGATTTTTAGTTACGGCAAAAGATAGTTTGATAACGAACATGTCATCTTGTAATTGATAATTTATCATAGGATTCGGTGATTATTTCTAAGATTATAAGCAACTTATATATTTGAATATTTCAATTACAATTAGCAGCTAGCTTGGGTTTTTAGTTCCGTCCCCTAACTTTCTTTTTTTTTTTTTCTATTTATTTATTTTATTCTATTCTATTTTATTTTATTTCATTTTTTATTTTGTTTTATTTTATTTTTTATTTTTTTCGCCTTTTTACTTTTTTCTTTAAGACAAAATGCAGCTTTTTAGTATATCAATTTGGGACTGACAGTATTTTCAATTACCACTTCTGTCAATCATAACGCTGTGGGGTTATTAAACTTTCATCGATCGCATATTAAACTTCCTCAGTGACTCTAAGTCTTAGTTTAATCACCTGTAACTCTAGCTAACCTCGTCTTGTTTCAAGATCATATTGATATACTTACAAAAGTTTGTGTTTCACTGAATTTACTAGTATTTGTTATGTACGATAAAACCAGTGTGTTATCATTATCATTCGATGCGAAGTCCACTTAGAGAAATCTGAAACCTTTCTGCAGTGAGCGTTGGTGATGACATGAATTCAAAGGAACACGACAATAGTTTAATACCAGAGTTATTTAACTCATATATTAATACTTTTAATTTGCCTTATTTATCCTCCATTCTTCTTGTTCTTCTCCGTTTTCTTCTTTAGTCTGCCTTTTTCCTCTTGTATTGCAGAAACACGATTACACTATTTTCCTTTTTTTCTTCTCGCCTTTGTATCAATTAGAATTTCTTAAACAAGAAAACTTAGCTAGTTTAATTGTAACTATATAATAAAAACGGAAATATGAGATTGAAGGAATTACTTCAAGAAAACTACAATGTATAGCCAAAGTTTTGAAAACCGATTCACTTGCGTCGTAAAGGCGAAAATTCCATTGAGAAAAAAATATGATTTCTTTTGTCAGGTATTATTCCCTTTCATCCAAGATAATTTAGAAGATAGTTTAGAGGTCTAATATTAATAGACACATGTTGGAAGTTGAATGTCATAACTGATAACAAGCTTTCTCTTAGTTTGATTAAACTAGGATACCCCGACAGGATTCTTTTGACTAGAATATGAACAGTTAGATTGAATGCAAGCTCCCTAAATATCCGTTATTTTCTGTCTCTCGAGCTTCTACTCGTTCAACAAAACAAACAATGGCTGGTCATTTTGTCGATAACATATTAAAAATCTATGTTTTTCACTTTAATACGCCTTTTCTCTCACAAATATTTTGTTTGGAAAAATATTTTTTGAAATTTCGATTTCTTTATTTTTCTTTTCCTTCGATTTAAAAATTGTATGTTATTTCAATAACTTCTCTTACGACCATGAAATTGTTTTAGGAATATAAATACAGTAACTTAACACAAATTCGGTAGCACAAAATTTATGTAAAAGGCGCAAAGGACTGATTCAAAAATTAAATATAATATATTTACTTGTGTAATTTTTTTATTTTTAATTTGTTTTTACGATCCAGAATACATATGCAATGTGTTTGTTGATATAAAGCTCATGTCTTCATAACGAAACACCTTTTACAAAGGTTATATTTGTCTTAACAGAATATATTTGACACCTATAATTTGATTTGGAGAAGTACTTCAAAATTCATTGGAAAGTAGGCACTCGCTCAAGTGTATGGAATAAATAGTGTTATATTGTGGTGACCTGGAGTGGCCGAATCTGCTTTTATTTATATTGGTGAGAACGAGCTTTTATCAGAAATTTCTAAATTAATAAAGCAGAAAAAATTACCATCGTAGAAAGAGGATGTTGAAATTTAAAAATGTAAAGTTTGAAGGAAAGAAAGTCAAAACTCGCATCCTAAAGACATAGTATTTTTGAATTGTGCGGTGAGTTTCATCGTAAGAAAATCTTTGTCATACTAAAAAAATAATCATTTATCAAAATTTATGATATCTTCACAATTGTTTAACTTACTTCAAACTTCACAGTTTTATACTAATCTTAACATGCTTTTTTTGTTCTTCTGTCCTATGCGAGTTTTGGAGATACATGATCAGATTGAGCGACCTGTTGGTCGTAAGGCTCAGTTTGATTTGAACGACCAGCCACTGTTGGCCGGATTACGACAGCTTAAGCGCTTAATATCCAGTCCCAAAAAATATGACCAGTTTATATGCGCGTAACAAGTTATTTACTCTCCTATAAGTGCCGATTATCCATTAAATACGGACACCATTTACGAGCAATTCCTTTTTCTTTGTCCGTACTAGATTGTAAACAGACCTCTATAAACCGGACATCGCCACATTACAGATACTTCCTTTGTCTGTCTGGCTTACTCGAGTATTAGTCCAGTCATCCTATGAAATTTTGGGGGGTGGGGCTGGAACAAATTGCAACAGAATTTTTCTCAATGCTGTTTGACCCGTTAGGGTAAGTTAATCAACATACTAAAAGTCCCAAAAAATCCCTTCGGTGGAACATTCCTAA